ACAAGCCACACTGTTGTAGGCGACTTCAACGTATTTATGGACGATGCCTAGACCAGACTGCAGTGAACAGGTCTCAGTTAAGACGAGGTCAAGACGAGCTCAAGGATTGGCTCAAACACTGAGTTTAATTGATACGTGGCGCTCACGGGACTATACCAGTCCTTCGCATCAAAAGCGATTGGATTATCGCTTAGTACGGCCGACCTACTTCAAGACAACCCGGTATCAGTCCAACACGTTCGTGATCGCAAGTGGCATAATGTACCAGTTGAGCTGTGCCTTGTCTCAAAGCCTGTCCAACGCAGTAGACATCAACCCTGGAGCCCGACTTGGCTGCTGCGGGACTTGCAAAAGCATCAGTATTTAGCAACTTCAGTTTGAAAACTGGCCTACCGTATCAAGATGTTTCCGGGTGCAAATCCCGGTTGCCTTCTTGACGAGCATAATCGAGCAGACTGCATATACCTTCGACGACGTTGGAGGGAACGTAGCCACGGAGACGAACGGACGATGGCCGTGAAGATAAGAGCAGTCAATGAAGCTGCCGACTTGGTCAGCGTCGTACCGACAGAAATGGCCAAAAAGCGTCAGAACGAGTCAAATTTGACCTAAAGTCACATCAAGATGATATGAAAGCACGTAACAAGTACATAAGTTTGCAGCTGACTTAGACTCGAGTGAACGTACAACCAGCTACTTTTCCCGCTCACCACAGTCAGATTACCTTCGATCGCCAGCCACGGAGCTGACTAACGAAGATGGCAAGGTCACAGATGATCAGCTGTTTAACATCGGAAATATTGGGGTATTATCTTCCAGTTCACATCTGCGGAGTTATTCAATCAGAGATCTTCATCTAATTAGCCACTTGGATTTGCTACATTTTTGCATTACACAAAGTATAGGTTGTCAGCAGGGCAACAAGCTATGCTTGACGCTTCAATCACGGCAAATGACTTAGACTGGGCAATTATGGTATCTCAAAAAGTAAATCTCCAGGTGCAGATAGTTTACCGATTAGATATTACAAGCTTAACACGAATCTGAGCGTAAGCATTTACAAAGTGATAAACAGCACTCAGTTGGATAAGGAGAAAATGACCAAGTTTCAAGGAAAGGTCCACCTGTCCTACTATACAAGTCCGGTGATCGTACTATACGCGGCAACTATCGACCACTTACTTTTTCAACCTCGACGCCAATCTAGGACCAATGGATTTACAGTGGTGCTTGAGTCAAGTTCTACACTCTATCATCTACGCCGACCAAAGTGGCTTCGAGCCAGGACGGTCTATCCGTCACACATTACTTTGCTTTCAAGATTTGCAAGAAATCTGCAAAACAAATTATCCGGATGCATTTGCAGCATTCTTGAATTTGTCAGAATATTTGATAATGTTCTTTGGCCTGATTTGGATATGGTGCTTCACCACTTCGAATTTAGTGCGACTTTCCGTGCATGGATGAAGACTTTCTACATAGAAACATTTGTCAGTTTTCTACTTAATGACTGACCTGGTGACTTTTTCTTATTGGGTGAAGGTGTAATACAAGGAGATCCTTTATGACCTGGTTTCTTTGTTGTTTCCATAAAACCAATGATGAGCAAAGTTATCTTCAAAAGGCGTACCTGTCGACGGTGTAGACACGCCCCATCTGCTACTAGCTTTTGGTGACAGCTCCACCAGAATTTTGTTTAATCTCGACGACACCGATCAGTTTCTCGGTCATGTTCAAAACTATGCTGACACCACTGGTTTAAGGCACGATAACTCCAGAAATAAGCTCGCTGAACTACGAAGGCGAACTGAAGTCAAAGTGTTGACACCGTGGAGAACAGAACGGCTTCTTGGTGCGATATGAGGTGCCACTGTTATACCGAAACAACGATACAGCGCGGTAATCAATAAGATACAAGCTCGGTGTACGTCTTGAAAATTTCGTGCAAGAACGCTACGAGAAAAGAAAGTTATACTGCAAAGTATAGTACGATGGTACAAGGTGTGTTTTCCTATGACACATGTACCTATTCTGAGGCAAATTGGCATTATAATACGCAATTTTGTCAATCCAAATGACACAAGTGCGTCCTCGGCTCGCCCCGGTAAAATTAATAAAGACTGGATATATAAAAGTGTTAAGAAGGGTTGTCTTGGGCTTACTCTACCAGAAGACCTCATTGACGCCATCACATAAAATGTATACGCGACGGCATTGCAGCCACCGTTGCCACTCGAACGAGCCTCGTTGGATGTCACCATGTTGGCTCTCTTTATTATGACTTTACTACGATTGGGAGATAGTCTCGACATATTATATTCCAATATGAAAGGATATTACTGGAAAGATCTACCTGATTACTGGAAAAACACATTTACATAGCTCACGCGGCACAACCAATCGGAAAATGTTCAAGCAAACAATGCCGGTTTGGGACAGCTTTCATTTCGCGTTTGAGAAGTCAAAGGCACCCTTCCGCAGTGTTAGTCCAGATACATCTGATAAGCTTATCGCGTTAGGCTTTAATCGGCTTCATGACTTTGTGAACATTAATGGAACTATCGCTACAATAGTTATGCTAAGACTACTACTTAATGCGGATGCCTTCGCAAGGTCTAGTTCATTTACTCGCTTTGTGAATGATACGATGCGAAGGCTCAACCTAATTATCCCAGGAGATTCTCCATGCTAGGACCATCACGATCATACAAGATAGAAGCCGCTTGCTATGCATTGAGTCTCGATGGACAACTTGTTGTTAATATGGATACCGTGACTTTGTTAAGTCGCTGTTGAAGCCACAAACATATACAAGTACTCCCTACTAGCCGTTGCGACAACTTAACTTTATGACTGACTTGACGCCTACCCCTAATATGTGGACTTCGGAGTACACATGGTATCGTTCTGTTCGTCCGGTTTTCTCGAATGTTAAGTTTTGACTACAAAATAATGCACTGGGATTCGATACAAGTTCAAATAGAGAACGGAAGTCAACATATCAACCACTTCTATACATGGGTGTATAGAAGTCGAAGACGCTAACCACTTGTTTTAGGATTGTTATGTGGCTCGTTATCAATGAAACTATTATCTAGAGCCTTTTGATGATTTCATTGAAGGAGACCTCGATCGGACTTGGTGGTATTTGCAAATGTTTATCGACTTAGGCCTACTGCAAGTAAGCTATCCGGGTTTTGCTATTCCAGTGGTACTATTATTCGTTGTTATGTTCTACGCGCCCTATGGCTAAATCGAAACAAGAAGCTACTCAACGCCGAAGTAAACACTTCGGCAGGTTTTGTTTGTAACCATGCTCGTGCTTACATTAAATTGCATTTCGCAAGCTCGAAGGAGTTGCTTTAAAGAAAACCAATGTCAAGTTGAAAGCACTGATCTTTACGACTAAATACCACAGGCTCATTGGCTATGGAAATGGACTTGGCGGTTTAAGTGCTTTGATCACTATGCGTTTTTACATCAATTATACTTTTGGCAGTCTCGCTTACATGCAACTTCACAAGGCACACACAAATGAATACAATAACCAAAGGAAGTGAAGTGGTCTTCACGCGCAATATAATGGATTTTGACATCGACTACAACCAGCCGTTCAGTAACCCATTATGGCAATAAAGAACAACTTCACGACAGCACATGCAATACAATTGATTCTACAATATCTATGGAGCGGGACTACCGAGCTCTTTGCATAGAGGAAGCTGAGCAAAGGTCGCCAACCTTACGTTCTTTACAAGTGCCAGTGAAAGTGTCGAGGATCGCAATCCGCTACCTTCAAGTTCTTAGCCAAGATAAGGACGCCCTTTCGTTCAAAACTGAATTTGCATTTGATTGTTTTAGTTGCGGCAAAGCCGCCGACATCTAAAACCTTAGTTTTTCCTGATTTATTAAGTAATACCTATTTAAAACAGTAAAAGCTAAAAAATATGCATTACTCCTGGCAATCCTGCCACTTGGTGGCTTTTTGTAACATTGTAGTCACACAATGGTGTGACTGCTCCAACTTGCGTAAGTCACACCTATGGGCGGTCACACAAGATGGTGTGACCTTTTCTTTCCTACAAGGGTATGTGTAACTTCGTTACTTTCTCCCCCATTGAAATTGTGAATATTCACAATTCACATTTAACTGTCCCCTCATTCGAGGCTCGCGTGTTTGGGATACCGTTACGTTCTTAAGAACAACCGTAAACATTCTCCGCTCAATGAGCCCTGTGTTTATGATACGCAAAACCCAGTCTAGCTGATTCGGAGGGCGCCTGCGGACAAATCGCTTCTTCTTCTTCTACACAGGGTGTATCTCCGGATAGTACGTCTGCGGCTTCACGGAAAGCACATCCCAAGACCTCGGCAAACGAACGTAACACACCACGCCCGTTCCGGGCGACGAATTTCCTCATCGAAGAGTTGGAGGAAGTCGACTGCGATTCGGATACTCCTTTCCGAGCAAGAAAAGACGAGGAGGATAAAATGCGCCAGCGGCGCGACGTGAGCCAAGCTCGAACCTTGCGGACATCATGTCCGCTCCCCGACCTGTAGACTCCCGGGGGAAGTGGTCTTGTTAACAATCGTGTAACGGGGTTACACGTACCCTGGTAACAGGGGTGTGTGTCACACAAGATGGGCATGGCGTAACTGCACCCAAATAAGAATACGGTATGTGGATGGGTAGCCGGTAGTTATGCATGTATTTAGACTTG